GAGCCACTGCAGATCCCTAAAAAGTTAGGAGCCGTCTTCATTATTGAATGTATAAACCCAAATAAATTATCACTGCTCAAAAGTGGAAGAAATGACAAATGAAATAAAGTTTTCCTACAGCGTTGCAATCCAGATTTCAAGATAGTGATGGGCGCACTAGAAAGCAAGTAAAAGTACTCCACAAGGCAAAAGTAAGGAACAAGAATATCCTTATACTGTTTCAGAATTCGGTAACAAACATTTTTTGTGTGTTTTAAATACCCGAACAAATCGATTCCAGAATCAGTCTTGATAATATTATATGGTTTTTGTATGGTGTTGGTGGTACTTGAATGACCAAAGTCAGTACATGTCCATCACCTTTCGATATTTCCGTGGTGCTCGTTCCCATTTCATAGCTGCTCACGGTGTTTTCTGCTGACGTCATATGGTGCTGCTCCACTAGCGCCACCATACGGCGTCAGCTGGCGAATTATCCAGTTAATACCAGAGCCCCACGTGGCGGCAGAGAGGTGATGCACATAGTTTTTATTTTGTTTTTTTTTCAGTTGTAGCAGCACTGGTGGTCTTGAAAACACCACTGAGTTGGGATGTTTAAACATTTGAATAATCTTATTGTTTTTCAGGTTTCGGTTTTTGACCCTCTCTTTTTGTCAAGGCCCTATGCTTTTGTAAGGCCTTGTGCAGATTCCCAGAGGTACCTAGGTATCAAAATCAGAATCTTCGTCTGGACAAATTCAAGACAAATTATTGTATTGCTGCTTACAACTAGGATATGTGAAATGAACAACATCAACATAATCCAACCAGTCCAAACCTAATCTAGCTTTTCCAACCTGTTTTAATGCATCAACATTCAACATGTTACCATTAATTTGCCCCACTTTGTAAGTGAAAATAATATGGACGAAGATTTGAGGAGATGGAACATTGTCCAAATACCGGCTTTGCATCCTATCAGTATTTCAGTCACACTAACTGTAGGATGTCTCTGATTCAGCCCACAGGCATTACCTAGTTAGTTTCTGTAATACACACATTTTCTATAAAGGAACTTGCAGGTATTTATAAGAAAACCATCATCCAATCAATCTTGATCAGAGGCCAGTTTTACCAACAGAAAAATAGCCGCCTGCCAGCATTTTTTGCCTAAAGACCTCGCATACGGAGGGTAAACAGTAAAGCTGTATCCGCTTACCTTGCATGCCCATCAGCTTTACACTCCGTATGTGAAGCGGTCTTTAGGCAAAACAATTCTGGCAGGGCAGGTGGCTATTCTACTGTTGGTAAAACTGGCCTCAGATTGACAATTTTTAGCGCAAGCTAATTACCTAATAATCTTACAATGATCTCATTCAAGCCACTGCATGTTCTGTTGTCAACAGTACTGTTTGGTTTGGTCACCATTTTTTTGTCTGCATGCTGCAGGTTTTCCCAAATAAAAATTTCATTCCTGACATTTCTTGTCATCTGGTGCCTGGTGGTCAACTGCACTGACCACATGGATTCGACCAATCTGAGGCCAAGAAATAACAGCAAGCTATTAAATTTTGCTGCAAAATGCTGTTACGCAAATTATAGCAAGTTGTAATGCTACTCAGCTTGACTAAATATGGATGTCAACACTGAAGATATCCAGCTCGACAGCATCATCATCACAGATAAAATGGTACCTAATGGTCAAGCTTCTTGGCTCCGAAAATCCATGGACCATGGAAGTTTGGGAGACTCCCTCAAGACTGGAAGCTGGGTTGTTACACCAATATTCAAGAAAGGCGACAGAAGTCTTCCTGGAAATTACCGAACTGTCAGCTTGGCTCCAGTGTCTTGCAAGGGTAGGAACTATCACTGTCATGGGCGTCGGGCCAGCTCCCTAAAAACCAGAGGGGTGTTCACGGGCACCGCACACTGCTGCGTGCGGTGTATGCGGAGCGTCCAGCAGGCGTGGGGGTAGGGGATGGGTAGGCGGTTCTGACGTCACGGCTGCGTGCGGTGGACGGTCCGCTGTGGCCAGTCCCGACCGGCCACAGCGATCGCTGTGCGCGGTGACGGAAGGCTGACGTAGGGACGCAGTGGGCGGAGCTTCGAGGCTGTGTGCGGTCCAACCGCACACAGGGCCCGTGAACAGCCCTCAGCATCGTTTCAGGGCAAAGAGATCCTGCACCGCTCAACTCCTAGAGGTTCTAGAAGAGTGGACGAAGACTCGATAATAATGACTCGCCCGACGCCTGTACCTCAATTTTCGAAAGGCGATTATGTGCCCCATGCCCCCACCAACGCTTCCTGAACAAAATGAGAGCACGATAAAGCGGAGTACGGGCAAAGTGCTCGACTAGATCTAGTCATTTTCGACAGAACAGAACCAGCAGGTCAGCATCAGAGGACAGCGATCACCGCGGTCCCTGGTGTTGAGCGGGGTTCCTCAGGGATCTGTGCTGTGGCCAACACTTTTCATTGGGAATGTAAACGACATGCCCAGCGTTGTTGACTGCTCAATTAAGATATTCGCCGACGACACTAAGCTGTACTGGAGGATTCAAACCGCTTATGACACAAGACTCCTACAGAACGATCTGGATGCCATCATCGAGTGGTCCCAAACCTGGCAGCTACCGTTTAATGAAGACAAGTGCACTGTTCTCCACATCGGCAGCCGCAACCCGGGATGCACTTACACGCTCAACGGCCTTCCGATACAGAACCAGAGAGAGATCTTGGGGTGTACGACAACGACCTGAAATTCAGAAAACAGGCAGCAAGTGCGGTAGCAGCAAAGACATCACAAGTATTGGCTTTGATACGCAAGTCATTCCAAGCCATCAACTGCGACACTCCCCCTGCTATTCAACTCACTCGTTAGGCCCCATCTCGAGTACGACTGTTGCATTTGGGGCCACTTCTCTAATGCTCACCAAAAGGCTGTCGAGCGGCTGCAGAGACGTGCCATGAAACTTGTTTCGGACATAAGGCATAGGCCATACACGGAACGGCTGAGGCTCCTGGATTTCCCCTCTCTGTACTACAGACGACGACGCGGAGGCATGATCAAGACGTACCAGGTGCTACACGGAGAGGTAGATGTACACTAAGAGGTCTTCTTCGTCCCAACTATGAACTGAAAAACAATAGGACACCCTCGGAAGCTGAGCAAGGATGAAGCGAAATCATGGGCCAGAAGACACTGCTTCAACACGAAGGTGATAAGCGACTGGAACTCTTTCCCCTCTAAGGTCGTCCTTGCTTCTTCCTTGGGCCTGTTTGGACGCGCCTGGATGCCCACTGGGATGGGATGAGGGATCCGATACTGAGCTTCCGATTGACGTACTGCGCACTGCTCTACGCACTGCTCGATGAGAACGGGACCATCAGGCCAAGTGGCCTTCACAATTCCTGGAATGCGTCATGCCGCAGGGGTCGGCAACCTACGGCCCGCGGGACCGTCTGACACCTGCCCCGCGGTCCGCGGCCGAGGTCGAATTGTCAATAATGATTTCATTCGTCCATCATTTAGTATTTTATTGTAAGGAGGCCTCGAAACTGTTTTCTCAAACTAAAATCAAAATATTATGTAATGTGACACATCCTTGGGAACATTGTTAAAGGTAGTGTGCCAGCTTTCCTGGACCGTATGGAGGAGGTCCTCTCCGGGCCGGCCGGCAAGATAGTCGACTACATTCGGCGGGTGGAGCGGTCCGAGCCGCCGCTCGACCAGCCCCCGTCCGATGCGCCTGCGGGCGCGTCCACGTGACGTGCGGCAAAGAAGAAAGAAGAAGTTAATGGCCCAGATAAGGAGAACCGGATTTTTAGAACTTATCCATACCTTCAAAACTCATGAAAACGTCTTAAATTCTTCAAATTTTGAGTACCCCAGTGCGAAATTCGCCCCGACGGGTTGTCGGTCGTACCCCAACCACATTTCACACCACTATGAACAATAAATGCACACACTGAAATCGCTATTACCGATATGCTCATCCAATCAAGTTTCGATAAACCCGTTCACCATCATCTCCTGCGGTTTCGAACACGCCTGTTAGGTGGTGCGGTAGACCGCGCCCAAAGCCAGGGCCCCGGTAACGTGAGGTAGACGAGTCGGGGCAGCGTGCGCTGACCCAAGCCGGGGCCGCGCGTCCTCCCGGTGTCATGTGATAGCCCGGGGGGATGCGGTAGACCGCGCCCAAAGCTGCGGCCCCGGCTTGGGTCAGCGCACGCTGCCCCGACTCGGCTACCTCACGTTACCGGGGCCCTGGCTTTGGGCGCGGCTTCTGCTCATACTTTGTGGTGCGGTGGTGGTGCGTCGGGCCGCGCGCTCTGACTTCGGCCAAGAAAAATGCGTCAGCTGGTCATTGTCATTTCTGCCACTTGCGTGTGGTGAAATGGGGTCATAACTTAAGAGACGGCTTTTTCATATCAATTAGTCTACATAAAATCATATTTCAAACCATAAATAATGTTCGACAGCCAAATAAAAGAAACAATACCAATACAGGCTTAAAGTTTAAATTCGACATTGTGTTGTCTACGATTAGACAGCTGATAACTCATTCCCGTACGTCGTAACTCTATAATGACCTTTGCTTATTGTCACATGTGCGCCGCATTCGCGATTGTTGCCGACGCCTGTTTGCAGCTCAGCCCATTACAGTTGTTATACATATCGAAAAACCGATAAACTTTTAGGCGAAAAAGGCACTATTCCAGGCCCATTTTTGATTTTTTTTTGCGATATTAGGTAAAAACAGAAGCTTCTTATCCTAGGAAAAATAAAATGGGAAATCTTTCAAAGGTGGCACACTACCTTTAAACCATTGCAGCTGTGCACAGCATTACAGCTACTTTTTGGAATGTGATAGATGTGCACTGTATTACAAAAGTTGGCATTACATCATAGCAGCTGATGTGCAAGCCCACTGCAAAAATTACAAATGTCAGGTTAAGCCTACCTTTACAGTCAATGAGATGTAACAAATAACAATGTGACTCTTTCGTATTTGTTTCAGATTTCATTAGTCAAGGCTCATCTTGAACAAGTGCATGACAAAGATTGAGAGATCATGGCTTCCCAATATGATATCCCTTGGTATATGCTGAAGGGACTTGATCCGACCAATGCAGAAACCTGTACCCTGAAAGGGTCGGTGACGACGGGCATGGAGCCCAGTGCCCGTGATGAGATAGCAGTCAAACTGAGAAGTGTCGCCTACATCGCCCGTGGCCGGGTCTTTTTTGACGTGAAAATAGACCAAATGAGTGAGGTATGTACACGCACGACCGTGAATATCGGGGCTTAAATGACTGATGTTCCAAAGTTAAGTTATAATAACTCCATATCAGCTATAATAATACTAATAGTGCATGTCCTAATAGTGCATAGCTAAGTATTTGCAATGGTTAATTTAATATTTACACGGTTATAGTACATTAGGCACATATCATACGTTAAACAGGGTTATGGTGTACAAATTTAAGTTGTGATGCCCACCGACTGTTTTTTGACGTTTCAGGCATTGAAACTACGCTCACTGGACCACGTTCATGTTCTGGTCGTTGTCAACCCGAAGTTTGGCTTCGTGAAGAATAAGGTGAACCTTGATATTCCAAGGAATTCGCTTCTGTTTTTCCTTACCATTTGTGTCAGTGGTGTTATTCAAAGTGTCATTTTAAGTTTTTTTAATTGGAAAAAAATGTGTCATGCTCTTGTTTCGTTTCCCAATTTAAAGCAAAGACAAGTTGCCGCCCGCTTTTGGGCGATGAGCTAGTACATCACTGCAGGTGCCACCTCCATAGACAGTGGAGTGAGCCGACCGTTCCACGACCCTCGGTGACCGATCCTGACCCCGGCCTCCTCCCTGCAGGAGACCTGTCTGCGCCGGCTGCGGCTGCTGCCCCGCGAGCTGGACTGGAAGAAGGCCCTCTCCGTTTGGCAGAGCGTCAGCGGTTTCCAGGGCGAGCCCCACACCCGACGCCCGGACGACCAGCTGGAGGCGATAGAAATACCGGTCGCCGCCGCCCCCGGCCCTGGTGCCGAGCCCAAACCTGCCGATCCGCTGCTGGACTTCGTGGACAGTATGCGTCAGCCGGTGAAGGGGACTCGGCCAGAAGACTCCGGATCGGTGGACGAGGGGAAGGGCGAGCCGGCCTCGCAGTCAGACGCCCAGACGCAGAATGGTGAGGGCGGCGCGCAGGGGACGGCCGAGACGGCAGCGGGAGACGCTCCGGCTCCAGTTGCCACAGAAGAGCCATCAGAAGCGGCTGCTGCTGAGACAGAGAAGGACGCTGTTGTGGAAAAGAAGGCCGACGTGACCCCTGAAGGATCAGCTGACGCCACGGTGACTGGTGCGACGGATAGTGCCGTGGAAGGCGAGCCTGCTACTGGACCCATGGAGACTGTGCCTGCAAACGCCGACACTCCTAGCACCGCCAGCACCGAGCAGGAGCCCCCTAAACCGGCCGACGCAGCGGCTAGTGAGGAGGTTCCTGTCAAGGAAAAGCCGGTTGGTTCGTCGATGGAGACGAGCGCGCCGCCTACGGAGACTGGAGCCGCCGACGTGAAGCCAGAGGACGCAACAGAGCCCGTCTCTGCTACCCAGGACATCGCGGAGCCTGCTGCTGCCACCCAGGACGCCGCGGAACCCACCGCTGCTGCCCCAGACGCCGACGCCTCGGCTCCGCCGGCGCGGGTGGCGCCCCCTCCCCCGCCGGAGGGTGCCGTGTCGTTCCGCGCTACCTGCTACCGGGCCGGCGGCGGGAAGCAGGGGCACGCGTTCAGCTCCAACGAGGGCGCGCAGAACTTTGGCGGCGCCGTGCAGGAGCTGTTCAACTGGAAGGTGCAGATGAAGGGCTACGACCTGGAGGTCATCCTCGACGTGGACTTTGGTGAGTGTCGGCCGAAACGGATGGCTGGGTAGTATAATTTGCATAGCTGGAAACATTGATAAGCTGATTTCCTTTCAACCAACAAATATCTTTGAGGATATCTTTGAGGAAGCTGGGGAGCTACTGAACTTGTTTTTGTTCACCGTTGTTTGTAGTTACTGTTTTTCCGTGGACAAGCTTTGCTATCTTTTCATGATGCTATGATTTTCCATGATAACATAGCATGGGGTGCTAATGATAATATTTTTCCATAATGCCTTTGTTAACTCCTACAGAACTGTTCCGTCCACCTCCTGTTTAAACTAATGAAACAACTTGACTGTTGATATCGAGCTCGGGGGCTTAATCAATTTTAGAAAGTTAATCCGTCTATGACGCAGATAAATCTAGCAAAATTCTTATCAAATATTCTTGCAGATTCGACTGTCCTCGCTGAGTCCCTACGCTCCCCTCAGGCTCCATGTGTCCATGTGTCCTAGCATAGACCTCTGTATACAGAGGTCTATGATCCTAGTTACTCAACTTGACGATGCTTTTCTTCCTTGTTCATGACTTCTCACTGGCGTCTATGCCCCTTTACCCCTTTCTGACCGGCTTTGTGATTTCTCACCGCACATGGTGATCTTCGGTCTGTCGCTGACTGTTTGTGTGTTTGTGTTTGGTGTCCTTTTCCCACAGACTCACTGAATATGGTGTTTGTATTTATTTCTGCTCTCTTACCGCAGATATGGTGAGCGTCGGCCTGTCGCTGACTCCTCGGGCGCTGTTCTACCGTAACCTGGCCAAGACGGGCCCCACGTCGCTGCGCTCCACCGTGTGCTACGGCCTGCTGATGATGGCCAAGCCGCAGCCCTACGAGGTCGTCGTGGACCCCATGTGCGGTGGAGGGTCCATCTCACTCGAGGTAGGTCTGACGGACCAAGGGGAATGCTGGGAGCTGGCGCATGAGGTACCGTGGGTGCATCGTTAGAATTGATACTATACAGCTCTCCTATGCTACCATCGTCACCACAACAGCATAACCGATCCCATTGCATTTTGGGGGTTTCCTGCTTTGTTACACGTTTTTCATAAAAATGATTCTAATCGGCACGTCATTTTTTCTTCGCCGAAGAAAGATTTTGTCTTAAAGACATCAAACTTTCGTCCAATTTGGGCTCTATTGCTCCTAAATTTGTCTAAACGCTTTTGCACACTGTCATATGCCAAAGGCCGAAAGCCAGGGACGATTTCATCTGATTTTCGTGATTGAAACAAATGTATTAGACAAATTTTATGTATTTTAAAGGGTTCTAGGTACTTCTAGATAACTTTATTGCAATCCAAAACGTCTCTTTCAATCGTGTGCGTCTTTACTTTACTCTATTGACAAGTCCATGCGTTCCTGCACTGCTCGACAGCAGCGCCCCTCTACCACAGCTGGCGCCGGCCGGCTCCCGTCAGTGGCGCTCCAAGCGGCCGGCTCTCCAACTCAGCCGCTCTCACCGCGTTATGTGCAGCTACTGCGGCGAACGGTTTAGGCTGCCTCGCGACTGTCCTGTTCCGCTCACAGCGCTCCTCTTTCTGGTCTGACAGGGCGCCCAGGCGTTCCCCGGTACCTTCCACATCTGCGGCGACAACTATCCGGACGCCGCGCCGCGCGTGCTGCTGAATCGCGAGTTCAGCGCGCGCCAGCTCAGCCCCACCGCCCAGCTGCCACTGGACGTGCTCACCTGGGACTGCACCCGGCTGCCGCTGCGTGACGGCTGCGCTGACGTCATCGTCTCCGATCTGGTGGGTTATGTGCAGCTGGTGAGTGCCGCCGAATCGGCCGCCTCACCGCAGCCGCCGCCGCTGCGGCCACGGCGCACGTCAACACAGTCGCTGTTGTGCTGCGGCGGCGGGGGTCTGGGTAGGGAGTGGCTCAGCTCAGGAGCGCGTGGTTTATAAACGCGAGTTTCTTTTTGACTTCAAGAATTTTTAATTTTTTTCCTTATTTAGTTATTTAGTTCCTTATTTAGTCCTTGAGTTGAATCGCGAGTGCGACATTCCAAATCCGTAAGTCAGGTCCATATGACGACTGGCGTGGCTGTACGAACTTGTGTTGAGGCTCGTCATCGCGGGGGTGATATGGTGCAAAATCTAGTGCGCAGATCGGTCCCGTGCGGCGCGAGGTCGCCCGCGGCCCAGTTTTCGCGATAGCGGGTTATGTGCGGCTACTAGCTAGCACGGTTTCGGCTGGCATTGTCGAGTTGCGGCGCTGTTTTTTGCGAGCCCGTGAGCACGGACGACGCTGATTGGCCGTCGTTTGATGACGTCAGCGGCTTACGGACTGGCCAAGGTCAACAGCACAAACACTGCCTGGCTGGGGCGGACGGACACGGTATGAGCAGCTACTGGCGGCAGCGGCTTAGGCTGACTCCCGACTCGATTTTGTACGATGTGTGTCACCGAACGAACCACTAGAGGGCGGCCCGTGGCTTACATGTAGCCAGCAAGCATGCATTCCTAACTGGATCAACAGCTACTGGGTTCTTGTATCTACCTAGTTTTCCTTTTAGTATGGAGCGGAGACCAGCATACTTTAAGTTCACGGGGCTCTTCCTCTTTTCTTTATCAAAAGCACAATTAGTAACCAATGGAACTATGTTTCTATGTCCTGGCTTCCTTTTTAACATCACAGTTGAGTTAACTCAGTGCTGGTTGTTGTAATCCTCTGAAATTCTGCGACGCTGTTTCGCTATGCTGTGGACTTGTAAAATGTTGTTATTTTTTGTAAGTGTAAGTCTGCTTGATATATGTGCGCACAGCGCACACTTACCCCAAGCCAGAAACTGCTGTCCCTCTGCGTCTGTGCTGTGACCGCTGTGTTCTTCTACCAGCCATTCGGGAAGCGGCTGGGCTCCAAGTTCGACAACCGCACCCTGTACCCGGCCTGTATGGAGGAGATGGCTCGCATCTGTACCCCGCGCTACGGCCGAGCCGTGCTGCTCACCCAGGACAGACGCACCATGGAGAAGGTGGGTAGGGGATGGGGATCAACCGCATGAGCGGACGGACGCGCTGTGTAAAAAAAAAAACTAGTACAAATCATGGAGATTCATGTCTGGTATATGAAATTGCGTGCCTTATGTCTCATCATATTTTGCATAGCCAACGACAAATAATGATAAATTGGTGGTTAATGCTGTTACACATGGATTTCATTGGTTGGCATTCTCTTAGGCTGGGACGTTGATGCGCCGCAAACTTGCCATTCGGTATACCATTGAGCGTGGACTTTTGTAGTAGCTTCACGTGTGGCGTCGTCGCTGACTGCTGTCTCCGTCTCTCCCTCACCAGACCCTTCAGCTGGGCCGTATCAAGAGTCTGTGGCGATGCCGGGCCTCGCCCTACGTCAACATAGGCGGCCTGGAGGGGATCGCCTACTTCTTGCAACGTTCAGACATGGTGCGTCGCCGCCGGCCACCGCAGGCGCCGGTCGCTGCCGCCCTCCGCCGGGCCCCGCCGCAGTCAGAAGGTACACCAGCGGCTCCGGGCAGCGACCCGACTGGTAAGGAATCGGAGACAGCCACAGCCGGCTCACCGGCCACTGCACAGTCCGGGGATGCGCCCTCGGCAGGGAGTGAGGCGGGATCTCAGTCGGCCTGCAAGGAGGCGGCGGTTGAGACGGAGAAGATTAATCGTGAGACTCAGGAGACTGTTGTCATCCCGCCGGAGACAGGGTCAGGGGAGCCGCCTGGTGAGACGATAACGGCAAAGGAGGTGGCCACGGACTTAGCGAAGACGTCAGAGCCAGTAGCTACTCCGTCTAGGAAGTCGGAAGACCCGGTAGTCGAGTCGTCCCCCAAGTCAGAGGACCAGGACCCGTCAGATGAGCCGTCCCCAAAGTCAGACGAGCCAGCACCTGCGCTGTCTTCGAAGTCAGAAGACCCTACAGTCGAGCTGTCCACAAAGTCAGAGGAAGCGACAGTCGAGTCGTCCCCAAAGTCAGGCGAGTCAGCAGATGCTTCACCTTTGAAGTCGGAAGACCCGTCAGCTAAGCCTTCCCTGACGGTGGCGGAAGTGGCCGAACCGGCGACTGCCAAGGTGCCCCCGGAGACGGGCGATGCTTCGGAGCTACATCAGTCAGCGACACACCAGACTGAGTCCGCTGCCAGTGTCTGCTCTGAGACGGCACCCACTGAGAAGTCACCCGCGCCAGTTTCGTCGGAGTCGGTACCTGAGGCAGATACACAAGCGCCAGCGGCGGAAAGTTCCGAGGCGACGCCCGCGGCGTCTCCGGTCAAGGTGACGCCGGGCTCACCCACTGCAGCGGGGTCGGTCGGCACGGGGACTGAGCAGCCTGCGCCGGCGCCCCCGCCCGCCGATACCCCGGCGGAGTGATTACCCACGCTCGCCAGTCGGCGATCCGCCTGGTTGGGGTTTCCGCCCGACGGCCTCGCTTGCTAGCTGTGACGGAGCTTCCATGTGATAACCAAGTGGTTCTTTGTATGAGTTGTTCAGTCGAGATAAGTCGTTCCTGTTGGGAGATGTGTGGGTATTTTGAATAGCCAAGGATCTCTTCCGATGTCAAATACAAGTTGCTCGTTATTTTCACTCGGTGTGTGTCTGTATGTTGGCTTCATTATTTCGAAGAGCTGCTTTAGAAATGTCTTTGTAAATTTGTACTACCTAGGAGGGACCATATTTAGTTAGGACATCTCACGATTGTCTAGAGGTCTATGAACGTTTCAACTGGCGATAAAAACCCAACATCTGTCATAAAACTGGAACATTTTATTCAAATTCGAACAATGATTAACTTTACGATAACACCGATTGTCGAGCATGTCGATGCGTGCGACGCCGAATGGCGGCGCGTCTCTCTGTTGCCATGGATACCGCCGTGTGTCCACATTCAAAACAAAGCAGCGCGTCAGCAGTATCACAAGAGGCCGCGCCGCCGGCACAGACAGCGTGTGAAATTTAGCTTGAGCTCCAGCACATCGCAGAGAGATACAAAACACACCGCTGAAACGCCGTTCCAGCTCCATAAAAGCCTTTGTACACACCTACGCTTCACGACCCGCACCAAGCGAGCTACATATGCCGAGACGGGGCGCTTTGCGGTGCGCCGAGCCCCTGCGGCGCAGCGAGCGAGCCCGGACCGTCGTCCAGCGCCCGCACGACCGCCGCAAGTCATGTGACTAGAGAGATAAACATGCGACACGCAGTACAAAAGTGACGCGCCGGTTAGTCTGTTAGCCGACGAGCCGCGCGCGCTACACAAACCTCTCGAACCGCTCCGAGGAACCCGCTTCATCCGAATGAGATGGTGGTGCGCCTGGCGGCCTGACGGCTGTCGCCGGCACCTGCCTTGCCGCCGACACTGTCGCCGTTTGACCCGCTAATCGCTCTGAGACCGTCTCGGTCGCTACGTCGGGGGCAGCCGGAGGTGCCGGCGTCGGCTCTGTGGCGGCCTCAGCTGCCGTCGGTCCCTGCTCAGGGGCGGTCTGCGCCGCAGGCACCACCACCGCCCGCTGCGGCGCCGGCAGGGTGACCAGCACAGCCGCCGGCGCCACCTGCCCGTCAGACTTGGAGACGGCGCCCCTCGCGGCGGCCGCCGGTGGCGCCGTGTGCGCGGGCTCCGGCCGGTCGGCCTGCGGCGGCGCCACGGAGCTTTGGCTGGCAGAGCGGCTGGTGCGGCCTCCATAGTGAGGGTACTTGACGCGCGCACTGCCGCCGACCGCGTACGGCGACACATACTCGCCTGAAAGACGGCACACAGTCAGGCACCGGTGAACTCAGCTGAAGACGCGGCGCGATCGAAACAGTGACCCAGAGTCGGCGACAGCTGGTATGAAGCGCCTGCGCTACCCCAGGATAAGCTAAAAATATCCGGACGTTCCGGGATGCTACTAAGACGTCCTGCGCTATTTCATAACTTGAGTATCAGTAGCTACGGCGAATATCTCGATTTCTTCCGTGCAGTGGTTGAAAGTATGGGTCTACCGCTAGTGCGGCTATATTCACACCTTCGCAGGTTCGCATGATCACCGTGCTTCATGCTTGGGATTGCTTGGCGTGCTGATGATTGTTAGTGGGCAGTAATGGCCATTCCTTCATCCACACTGGTTAGTATCCTCAGATGACGACTCCTGGCCGTCTCGCTTTCATGCACCCACCACCACCAAGTTCACAGAACCATAACGGACACGACCGAAACAGCAGACGCCGCGACCGCCACCGCCATCAACGGCAACGGCAAGAGCCAGTAAACGAGAAATTAGTAACCATGCAGACCATCACCGGCACCACCACCACCGGCAGTTGCAGGATCAGTAGATCGCCATCCCATGCAGTGAGTGTGCAGATCACGCCTCCCTCAGTCCGTCTCCGCCCCGGGTAGTTAGTTAGTGCAGTTCTCGGACATGCCGCGGCACCGCTCCATCGGGCGCCGCGCGCCACTAGCGGTGCAGCCAATGTCACCTACCGGAGAGTTTGGACAGCGGCGCCGGCGCCGGGCACGCCGCCGGGGCCGCGGGCTCGTCGGGCGGCACGTCCATGCTGCTGACGCGTTCTCCCCGGACCAGCTCGCCAGCGACGCGGCCGAGCGGGCGGTGCGGTCGCCGGTTGCTAGTTGATGCTGCGGGGCTGGCCGCCGGCTCCGGGAGTGACTGGGCGGCCGATGGTGGGCGGCGCCGCGTGGAGGTGGATGGTGGCGGCGTGCCGCCCCCGCCTCCGCCACCGGCAGCGCCCACCTCTCCGCCCATGTAGACGCCACCATCGACAGGCGACACGGCGCCGCTGCCGCTGTTGTCCGAGATGGACTTGCGCAGCTTGGGATGGGCGGCGCCAGCGTCCGGAGGAGCCAGCAGGCTGGGCGAGCTCTGACTCTGAAACTGGACAGAGATTACCGTCAACCACGCGTTGCTCACTGGTGATGATAAAACTAGCGACGCGAAAGTCATCAGCGTAACAAACGACCTCATCGTCATAAACGACTGACAACTTCTGGCACACAATTCCAGGCACAGTGTTTGCATACAGGTTGACGACGTTCCGTTAAAAGTTCGGATTATTCTATCCGGGACATTCTATTTATTCAGCCGACGACTACCCAAATCACTCGTTGAAACATCCACTCGCACGTACCGACTCCAGGCCGATGTAGCTCTTGAGGCACATCTTCACGATGGCCGGTTTGTCCTGCTGTGCTACGGTGACGGCAGCGGCGGCGGCAACGGCAGCGGGTGGCTCGGCGTCGTCCGACTCCTGCGACGTCAGGCGCTCCTCACCACCGCTCTTCTCTAGGCTGGACGAGATGGACGACACGCTGGCACATTCGAGACCCATGTAGTCGCGGAGTGATCCCCGGTAGATGAGGCTGCGTGGCCGGCCGCCGGCGCCTGTCGCCTGCTCACCGTTCGGGCTCGAGTCGCCGGCCGGCGGCTGCAGCTCGTCTGGAACCAGATATGGAATTTTATGGAGGATATAGCAATCTACATCTGACACTTGCCCGCTGAGACCTGTCAGTCACGAAATTACAGGTATCTGCTGACGATTATTCTTTGATAGGTGCTGCGTTATCTTCCGTCAACATACTCGTAACCCTAATCTCTCCGCTTCCTGGACTTCTGTTTCTCGTATCTCAGCTATATGTCTCGATGTTGACGGATGGCCGGCACCGTCTTTGTCTCACCCCACCTTTCTGGTCCTTTTCCCCCTCCTTGATCCTCCCTCCATCGCCCTCCCATTTTCTCCCTCCTTGTTCCCTTCCTCCTCTCCCTCAATCTCGCTATATCTGACCGGCGGCCGGTGCCGTCTCCTCCCGACTGCGTCGCTCCTGAATCCGACTGGTGGCCCGTCGAACCACGGCCCGGTACATGTGGGGGTAGTCGGCCGGAGTCACTAGCTCCTCCGGCCCGAAGATCTCCTGCACGTGACTGACGAGTAGCTCGATGACACGTGTCTGGTGCACCTGGAGGACAGAGACGGCGAGAGGTGATCGGCAGTCCAGAGGAACAGCCTAGTATAACATTGGGAGTACGGATTGAATACGGTGAAGAGGTCAGCGTGCCCCGGAATCTACGCAAAATATCTGACTAAGCTGAGAAATCCGATGTCAGTGGTTTTATCCAGCAAATTATGAGGGCCTGTAGTCGAAAGACAAAGAACTGTTGTGTCAAAGGCGACCTCTTAGGTTACTGCTTAAACGAGCGAAAGCTAACACCCAAAGCTCAACTTCGCATATCAACTCCGTAGAGTTGAATGAACGGGACACACACGCTCTGTTTAGTTCCAGCCAGCGATTCGAATACCAGGTCAGCTCCCCGCCTTTCGACTCGATACCCCGACTCAGTGGCTTGCCAGATAGGGCTCGACTGCGTTAGGCCAGTGTTTCTGCCCAGTCCCTGCCGCCTCCACTGACCGTGTCTACCAGCGAGCTGAGTGAGGCGCTGCCCTCCGACGTCCGCAGCAGCGTCGGACCGAACACGATGCCCAGGTTAGAGGGCGGCATATTGTTGGTGTTGGCGCCCCGGCTGACGCGCTGCAGGTGGTGCATCAGGAAGGCGAGCGTGGTGTGGTGCGGCCGCGGCAGTCGCTTCACCACGGCTTGGAGCTCCCGCACCGCAGACGGCACGTCACAATCGTTGGTGGGGTGGTCCTTAGCGATCCTGTGAGCGGGGGAGCGGAAGGCACAGGTGTTAGGACTACTGCAGTTATCAGTCAGGTCGTGATAATGAGGTAAGAGAAATTGAAAGCGATGCTCGGAAGGCAACAGAGGATGCATCAGCGTGCCCTTCACTGTGCACTGGTTGCCGACAAGGGAAAAATAGGTGTCAGCTCAATTGTTTCGCGGTCACTTGGGACACTAATTGCCAGAGTGACTATACTCCGCAGCGTACAACACCGACCTGATAAAGTCCGAGTACAGCCTAAAGCAGAGAAGCGGCTCGGGCAGCTGGCGCAGGTACAGCTTCAACACGTTCGCGATCACATTCGGGTGTACGTCCGTCAGGTCCACCAGGTGGGCGCCGTTCTCAAACGCCTGGCACAGCTTCTCCACCCGTGATTTGACGCCCGACACGCGGTAAATGCCCTGAAAGTCAGAACGGGCGAAGGTCATGCCGGTTTGTGGGGATGTGTAAAAGGGCAAGGGTAGTCAAAATACCAAGCATCGTCACACTAGATGAGTGTTAAACTTATGGTCTACTTACCGCTTTCGTAGTCCCTGAGTCGGAATAGCGAGACATTATTCAACGCCCTCACTGACTTCCCAAATAAAAAGAATAGCATCAATAAGGGAAGAGAAAAATCGAGCGAACATTTAGCAAGTACCATCAAAGCTGAACACCGCGCTGGAACATTCTTATCACCTTGATGCCACAGCCGCGATGGTCGATCTCTGCGACACACTTGCAGACCAGGTGCGGAATCGGCGCGCACGTTTCCGCGAGGTGCTGCGACAGGTCCACCCCGAACGTGGTCATCTTCCGCGGCAGCCGCTTGTGGCCGCACTGGATGGCCAGCGTCTCCACGCACTTCTTGTGGCTGGTGAGGCCGCACTGTTGGCAAGGAGGGGCGTGTCAGGCGGGGACACAGTTGATGGATGG